CCCCCAGTTTTTTTCCAAATGAACTTTATAAAGAAATCTGAATCATTATAAACATCCTTAGTGCTCCTACTGAGAACCTGTATATCCACAAGAGGAAAGGCTTTTCCACAACTGCAACTCCAATATATTCAAAGCTGGTTTAAGCAATACTGAGTGAACTCAGCATCCATAACCAGAGTGTTACACTTCTGCAATTCATTAGTCCTCGAGGTTCCATTCCGTAATTAAAATACTTTGCAGTTTAAGGCTTTACAGTAAAGAATGTGCAGTCCTCAGCAGTGTTTCCACTGCCAGTCTATGGAAAACATATGCATGGAAAATCTGCCCAGTGCATGTGCACAGCCATCTTTGGATAGCTTCAGTGAACATTCAACGCTGTCGGTGAGTTTGAGAACTAGAAAAAACCATCGACCGTTGACTGTACCTTGAGGTTTATCACAAACCCTCTGTTCAATGGAGAGCCTGAACCTTCAGAGATTTCACATGTGGTTGCCATTAGCAGGTCATGATTTACAGATTATATTAAGAGCTGCAGAGGTTGAGTTTTTCCAGTTCTGCTTTCTCTAAAAGTGAATTGGTGTATAAGAAATGCTTGTTTTCTCTTAAAAAAAAAAAAAAAGAAAAGAATTAAAGCTTTATACTAGCACAGAATTTCTGCAGAACAGAGTATAAGAGATCAATGGAAGGTTTTGTATGGGCAGCACAAAAGCAGGAACGTATCCACTCCATATGGGACGCTTGGAAACAAATCTGAGCATGGTATATATTGAAAATAGCAGAATATAGGCCAGATCAGGAGGGAAACCTTTCCATTTGGGCTGGCAACTTGAGCTTTGCTGGAGAAAGCTTTGGAATGTCCGTTCATTGCTCCCAGGAACCTGCAGTTGATTCCAGCAGCTGCTCACCGGGCGAGGAGCGGCTCCTCCCGGGCAGCTCCAGCTGCTGCCAGGGCTCAGGCTGTCACCCTGCAGCCAGCAAACAGCCTTTATTTCCTAAGGAACACCAACCAGGGGCTGGCACCTCACTGCCAGGGCTCAGGCTGTCACCCTGCAGCCAGCAAACAGCCTTTATTTCCAAAGGAACACCAACCAGGGGCTGGCACCTCACTGCCAGGGCTCAGGCTGTCACCCTGCAGCCAGGCAAGCAGCAAACAGCCTTTATTTCCAAAGGAACACCAACCAGGGGCTGGCACCTCAGTGGCACCCACGTGGAACCTTCTCCAGCCCAGCTGGCTGCCCAGGACTGCAGCCTCTGGCAGCAGGAGCCCTAACAAGGGTGCAGGCCCTTGTTCTGCCCATCCAGGGACTGCAGAATCCATGAATAAGGAAAGACCCAAAGCATGTGCCAGGGAATTTTGTCTTGGGCTGCTCTGGAGTGAAGCACCATCGCCATGGCCTGGCATTTTCAGCATCTTCAGCTTCTAATGGCTGCAATCAACATTCATTGCTGTCGGTGGGTTTTCATTGCTATCAACTCACTGATCAATGAATGCAAACTGCGGACCAGCCAGCCAAGGACCTCCTGCTCTGATGGCCAGGTGGCCTGTCCAGCTGGAAAAGTGACACCTCTGCCAAAGAAATGCCCTGTCCACGTTCTGCCTCCCAAAACTGTGTAAGACTGAGCCATTGTCCCACCAAAGGAGTTCAGGATTCCTCATCCAGCTCCCTCATGAGCAGATCTGAGTGCTAATTAAGAAATGCACAGGGATTTTAAAGGAGCACAACAGTTGAGGAACTAGTTCAGGTTTAATAAAAGTGTCACCCAATTGGTAAATCTATCAGTAAAGCATAAATCTACTGCTTTACCAGGTTATAGGAAATTAAACTTCCTCCTGAGTGAGCCAAGCTATGGAACAGCACTGGTCCTACAAAGTGCCCGGTGAGAGATGAAAAGGGACTGAACTGTGGGGCTTTGGGGTGAGAACGGGAGGAAGCAAAGCAGAAAATAATGCTTTAAGAAAACAGTGCTTTAAGGTACTGCTGCAGAGAGCATTCTTCAGGGCTGTGGTGGGCAGGGCCAGCTTCAGTTCTGCTGGAAAGGTGAGGAGCTGCGCAGGGAGGAGCAGACACTCTCTGCATGGCACACAGACTGGCACTGCCCTGAGACACAGGAGCAGCCTCTCCAGCTGCCCTCCAAGCATTTCTGCATGACTGGCACGACATCCCTGTCCAGAAACGTCCCTGTCTCTGGGCAGGGTGGGCAGGAGAGGGAGGAGGCTCCTGTGGTGCCCCCACGGCACTCGGAGCAGGGATGGTGGATCTCCCTGTGCCCAGCACTGGTGTCAGTCAGTCCCTGGGCAGCAAAGGCTCCAAGCACTTCTCCTACACCTTGTTTGCTCCTCCAGTTGCTCTCAGGATTATCCTGAAGGAGCCTGTTCAGACATGCTGGGCTGCTATCCCACAGGAACCGTGTCCCTCTGTACAGCTCAAGTCAGAACAACTCACCAAGGACTTCTAAACTCCACTCTGGTGAATATTCAAAATATATCTGCTTGCTCTGTTCAAAGACTTAAACTCGTTCATTTTTACACAGGAACAGCTCCACCAAGTTCAACACCAAACAGACTGAACTTTGCAAAAGTGGAATTTTAGAAATAATCTGCCCTCTCCCTGGGTCTGATAGCAAAGAGCCCTTTTCAGTCACCCACAGTGAGCACTTGCACCGACAGCCCGGGTAAGTGTGGTGGCTTGGTACAGGGAATTTACCACAGCAGTGTAACAGTGAGCAGCCCAAAAGCATGCCTGCCAGATTGTTTAACCTTATGAAAACAAGACAAATGACTCATTTTTGATGCAGTTTGACATTCTGCCTTTGAAATCTCAAAATTTTCAGCATGCTTGGCAGACTCATTCGGAAGTGAGAGTGCACAATTTGGATTTTTTCCAGAGACATCTTACATGATGTACAAGAAAGCACTTTTGTGTTATTTTAAATAGACATTTCAGCCAACTGGTTTTCCTCACGTATACCTGCATGAAAGTAGAAAATGCAGAAGTCCTGACAGAGGGGTTCATCTTTACCTCAAGGACACGTGAAAATAATTCCCTGCAATTACTCTGAATAAGACATTTCAGACAAACAGAGGAAATTACAGTAAAGGGGCCATTACCCCAGTTTGCCAATGCACAACAAGCCAAAGGCTTGAGCACACATTCCACACCTCTCAAATGCTCTGCATGTACAAATAGGATTAAAATTTAGGTTCCTACTTAGCTGTAAGAAATCCTCCAGAATTTTTTTTTTTTTTTTGCTTTAATTTTGGTAAGGAAGTCAGCAAGGGAAAAAACTTAAGGAAAGACAGGCACGTTCAGAATGTTTTTACATCCATGCTTGGGAAGCTTCAGATGTTTGTGTCAGCAGCTGTTTGCTGCCCAGAGCGCAGCAGGGTGACACTGAGCGCGGCGCACTCGGTGCTGCCACCACAGCCAGGGGACAGCTGGGCTGGGGACACTGGGGACAGGTCCAGCAGGAGCTCCAGGGCTCACCCATCCCCAGCAGAGGCCACGAGGGCTGGCCCGTGGTCCCGACCGAGCAGGGGCCACCGGCGCTGAGCCGTGATCGAGAGACAGGGAGACATCAAAAGAACTCGAGGAGCTCGGTTTATTTAGTTTATCAAAAGTTTATATAAATATCTTCATAGGGAACACACAAGCATTTTTCATTTTAGCAGAAGATAACAGACATGAAAGCTGCAGCTAGACAAATGCACACTGGCAGTAACACACAGTTATTTAAGGGGGGGAAGGAGGGTCAGCTCATGTTGGACAGCCCTGCCCTTTTTCTGCAGATATATTCTGCTGGGAGAATACTATGGGAAATTTAGGGTTATGTTATGTTAATTTAGTTATGTTTTAATACCTGTCAATGCACAAGAGTAAATATGAGCTATATCAGGCCACAAAGGTTCAACAGAGTATTAGCCAATATATCATCATGAACCGTACATGTCTCTAGATGACAAATTATTCTACATATGCATGTGAAATTACCTGTTTCCATATAAAAGTGATAAACTGCATGAAAACATAGCTAGATACCAACAAAGATGTGTTTTATTAATCACCAGGCAAATAACTGCACACATGTTCAGAGCTCAGAGCCTGCCATGCATGCACTCCACAGGGCTGCTCTCACTATAAAGGAAGGAACCAGATTCTCACTCCCATCACACAGGAACCACAGTTCTCCAATAAAAGTCAGTGCAAGTCCACCAGCACAAAGGCACGTGGAAAGGACCATGTCCTGGCTCTGGGAGGCTTTTAGCAGTTGTGAACATCTGAGCATTACTTTGAAATGAGCTGCCAGTTCAAAGTCTGCCACATTTGACAAATCCGCAGAGTTCCCACACAATGAGATGAAAAGTTGCTCTCAATGAGGGGCTCTCAGCCCTGTGAAGGACACGGTTTCCCAGTCCCACCAGTCTGACAAGGGCCTGTTGCCATCTAGTGGATTCCCACCGACTGCTCCCTCCGCACAGCAAATGCCACTAGATGGAGTGTTAAGAAGGAATTCTGAATTCCTCCTTTTTTAGGTGTCCAGCAGCTCAGGTTTTCTAAGTCTCAAAAAGTTACAGGCCCAGAATTACCCTGAAATGGAGGAGGATTGCACCAACTGCTCTCAGTTTTATGAAAAATGTCAGGCTATAGATTTTCAAGTGTTAGAATGAAACACTACAGAAAAAGACTCCCATGTCAACATAATTTACGTCACCTCAGGGGTTTCTATCACTCATGCAGGCATCTCCTTCACCAAGATATCTCTGGTGGCAACAGGTCTTACACAGCCTTGCATTCTGCTGGAGTAAATAGTGATGTACAGACCTGGTCTGTGCTACTTTAGTGAGAAATACCTCATCAGCTCTCAGCTATGGGAATCCCCATTTCCATAAATAAGCATCAGCTGTAAAACTTCTCCACCATGGAGTATCAATTCACGTCTCTGGATTACCTCAGAATGAGAAATTCTACCCCGTCCCACATGGCAAGAAAAGGGGTACTTACTGCCCACGGAGTTCACAGGGAGGACAGGAGAGGAGGAACTCATCTGCTCCACATCTGCAGCTAATGGGAAAGTGAAAATGAGAAAGATGTGATGTGCATGTTACTGAGAAGGTTTTACTTTGAAAACTTTCATTTACACTGAAATTGAATACGCATGTCTTCAGTCACCCGAGGAAGCTGCTTTGAGGAGCAGGTAATTTCAACAGCATCTGCCTCCCCCTCTCAAGTTATTCCTGCCATACGCATTATCTGTAGATCTACTTTTCTCAGCAGTCATATTAGTAATTTATAACTTGTGATGGTTTGAGAATATCAATTCAGAGCAACTTCCAGCACAAAGAAAGTCTAAATTACACCAGGTTTAAACTATATGCAGAGCATTACTGTGGAATGAAAGGACATGATGGTCTCCCATCTGTGGCCAGTGAACCTTCAAAAGATTCCTGATCAGAAGAGAGATCCTCTTCCAAAGGCTGGCAAGCTGCTGGAATTTGATCTGGAGCAGCATCAGAAACAAGTGTCTTTAAGCACAAGACACTCCAAAGCTTTATTTTCTAGCAGCTGAAAGAAGAAACAGAACTTCCTGCCTGCGTCTGCCAGTGAAAACCCTCAAAGTCAGAACGTGATCAAAAACAAATGCCAGACTGCCCTCTGTGTTTTGGAAAGCATCCACCTCTCCAGGACTCAAACCAGGAGAAAACCATCTTGCACTAACAGGGTCGGTTTTAACCCAAGATTAGGCAAAGCCAAGATGCATTCTTTGGGCTTGATCTCTCCCAAAGACCACAGCCCCTCTCAGCACATCACCACCAACACCCCAGCCAAGCAGCTCAGTCTCCATCTCTGTGATTTTGGTGCTGGTAGGTCCCACATAATTATACATTCTGTAACTCTTGTTTAACTCCAGACCCAATAAATGCACACTACAAGTTTGCATTCCTAACCACAGAACACAGCCCCAGAAGCACAAGCCCAGCCCACGCCAGGCTTTGCTGCCAGCCCAAATCCTGCCTTTCACATTCTTGCAATTCCCATTTCTGGGGCAGCAGGCAGTTCCCTGAGGACCACTGTTTACACTGGAAGTGCAAAGTTCTGCTCTAATTAGGCAAACCACAAACAAAAGTAAACACTTCAGCAGACCATTTTTCCAGAACGTGAGAGCAGACACTGCACCACACTGACTAAATCCTGCTGCCACACTTCATACCACCCGGAGCCTCCTCGGTGTAGCTACTCAAAGCAGCAGCTTTGGTTCATCATGTTAAACACCAGCCATAGCTGAGAACAGCAACAAACACAATTACAGATTTATTCAGCAATGCCCTGGCTTGTTCCTGGCCTACTCCCCACTGGATTACCAAGGCATTTACTCCTAGAACACCTACACATGAATTTATCATCTTGCCTGGCTCCTGCAGCAGAGCTCAGAAAGCTGCATGTGACATGCTGGCTGCAGACCTCCCAACAGCCTCTGCATTACACTGCACAGTCTCTGATGTGCTCAGAGAAGAAAAATTATTTTGCATCTTCCTATTTTCCACCTTAACACTACAGGCTCCCTAATTTAGGAACTAGCTAGCCATATACTGTACATGTTTTGTAAATTTAAAAAAAAATATTCTTCATATGTAGTACATCCATTTCAGGTTCCTGGAGAGAGTTTTGTCCTTTGCCTGTTGAAAGCTACACACGCTCTCACACACATCCAAGTTAAGGCAAGCAGTCAGGCTGAAGTCACTGTGCCTCTTTGGGGAGTGGTGCAGAGCGAGCCCTGAGCACGGGGCTTTAGCAGGTGAGGGAGGGCAGCAGCCAGCAGATGGTGCCTGCTGCTCTGGCACAGGGGTCACTGCCCAGCCCTGGCCAGATGGCACAGGGCAGGCACCGAGAGCTGCTGCGAGGGCAGAGGCACTCAGGGCAGGAAGCCACACCTGCCAGCATCTGCAGTGCTTCATCAGGTGTCACCCAGAGAGCAACTCAGTCATGCATGTGCCTTCGGAGGAGAGGTTTCTGAGTGGGAAGTGTCTAGAGAGAGGCAGCACACATTCTCCAAGTCCTAAAATTTTAGATTGTTCACTGTGGTACCACGTTACAGGCTGCAAACAACAAAGTGTAACTATTTCCCAGCCATACTTGGAAATTCTGTGTTTTACTGACTGTTTGCAGTATGTTCACCATGCTCACCACACCCAGCTGCTCAAATTTGGGGTCACAATCCCCTCAGTACCCTGTGCTGCTGGGAACCCAGCAACCCCACAGCCCCTGCAGGAGCATGGCACAGCTGTGCCATCCAAGGGCAGCGACACATCAGCATTTCTGGGCTTGTGCTACTACTGGCAGGTGGTATTTACAACATATTAATCTCAAAAAATCACACTTGGATTTTATTCTAAGTACACAGAAGCACAACTGCTTATTCTACACCTGGCCTTGAATAGCTGGATTTAAAAATTTCTCTCTGTGTAAAAACACAGTTGTTTATGAAACATGGCAAAGCTGGTTTGCTCTCTTTACCTATAATCCCCCACCCTTTCCTCCAGCCCTTTTTATCTTCACAATTATATGTAATCCATTAAATTCCTAAAAACAATTCATCCAAGGGAGAGGAGATATGGACTAACGACCAGGCTAAGATTCTGGAAAGTGGATTGCTCTAAAAGAGGAAAAGGACAGAAGTCTGCTCAGCTCTGAAGAGCTGCTGCTGCCAATACAAGTATTTACCTCCTGACCTCTCTGCCCACTCAGTGAACAGTGCCAATTGTTTTCCTGTGTTACACACTGTTTACAAGCCCTGAGTGGTATGAAAGGAATTAATAATTCAGCTCATGAAGCTGATGACCTTTATTGGGGTACCCCTCTTTGCTGAGCAGGAATCAGAGCAAAAAGCTCCCTTGAAACCACAGGGTTTCTTTTTAAGTGTTTTTCACTTTACAGCCTAATTTTCCACCACAACATAAATCAGTTATTTCTCCTGTTTTAACCAACAGTGCTACCTATTCTTAACCCCTCGATTTCTAACTTCCCTTGTATCAAGCCAGGCCCTGTTCTTTGGCTTTTCCAATGGTCTGGTAAACACACTGGAGAGCTTTTCAGGATCAGGAACATTTGGGAACACCAGCAAAAAGAGATGATGCCATTTTGAACTTCTCTTGACCTTTGCCTGCCCTTGTCCCTGTCCATGCTAATTGAAGGAGTATATGGGCTACTCCTAGAAATGAACTTAGCCTGAGCCTGGACTCAGCACTGCACTCTGAGGATGAGCTGTGGTGCCCCCTCCCCAGCATGGAGCTCAGCGGGTGGCACGGGTGGGTGACACGGGTGGGTGACACGGGTGGGTGGCACGGGTGGGTGACACGGGTGGGTGGCACGGGTGGGTGGCATGGGGCAGGCGGCAGTGACACCCAAGGACAGTCACAGCTTAATGGCCACCAGTTAATGCTTGAACTCAACAAAAGAGCCCAGGTTTGCACCCAAACTGCCTGCTAGGATGACATGGGAGACTGCATCAGAAGCCTGCCTAAGCTAAGGTTAATGACAGAATTACTCTCTCCTCATGCATGGATCCAGCCATCCCATCACAGAAGGAATGAGGTTGCTCAGGCAGGATCTCTCCCCTTGGCAAACTCACAGTGAATGTTCCCAGCTACCTTCTGTCCTTCAAGTGCCTGGAGAAGCCTTTTGGGAGGATTTGCTCCATACCCTTCCCACTGAGGGCTGAGACAAGGCTGAGCAGCCTGCAGTTCCCCAGAGCAGCTACTACTCAGCAGAGCTGAGCTGAAGGTGATTCATTATCCCTTATCAGCTCAATTTTACTATACAGAGACATTCCTCCCCTTTCCCCTACATTGGCTAGAGCTTGTCTCACCTCAGCACTGAGAACACACACTGTTTGCAGAGAGGAGTGGGAAATAAGGTCATCTCCTGATAAATATTTTTACTTATTTTCATTTACATGGAAAACAATCCCAGTTCCTGCTTACCAACAAAACTGAAAGGAAACCTACACAGCCATGCATCTTCCATGTACCTGCACTGTATTCCTCAATGAAGTCTCTACAAACATTGTTATTTTCAATGCCTGTTTACATTCCAGTAAAATTCTGTCAGCATGCTATCTGATTTATTGATGCCATCAAAAGTCACAGGATTCCTGACGTGCCTCCTGAGGCACAACAATCAAAGCAGAAAGGAGATGCATCTTGCTGTGCTATCAGCATTACCACATGCCTTATGGGCTGGGTTTGCAGAGCCTCTGGGATTTCTGGGACAGGGCACAGTGCTCTTTGGGAAGCTGCTGGGAGGTTCAGCAGGCTCTGCTCCTGGAAGATGGGGTGCTGTGCAGGGAGTACCCCCAGCCAGATCGTGGTGACAGCGGACTCAGGGCAGCTCTCAGCCAGCTCACTCCTCTAAAGGGACTCATACACATCAGGCATCTTATTTCAGACTTTTAGGCTACCAAAAGGAAACACAGTCAAGCACCAACACTTTTTAGAAAAATTACAGTGATGAAGAAAAAAGCCTGTCCTAAAAGGTGATCATGTCTCTGTTTCACACCCAGCGCCTCTCAGCACCCCAGCCCACAAGCACACTGCCTTTGTCCCTGGGCAGGAGATTTTTGCATCTTCTCTACCTGGAGGACGTTTTGGTTTATTAGGGTATTGCCCACCAGGCAGCCCAGCCTACTCCAATATTGAAAGATCAATTGCATAATCAGTCTGTAAATCTGGGGAAATTCTTTATTGACTTTTTGATAGCTGATAAAGTGTTGGCCAACATAAGGAATACCACTTCAGCAAAATCCATCTAGAGTTCACTAGAACTACCTACATTAAAAAACCAGAACTGACTGATATTATACAAGAGATGCTATTTTTTGAGGAGTTAACATCAATGCAGATTAATACTGATCTCCTGATAAATAACAGCATGTGATGATATACAGAAC